ATATTATATGTAATCATGTGTTATGTATATATATATGTATATATCCACAGTATCCACAGGCTGTCCAAGCGGCCAGCCCAAACGTTGAACTGCAAGCGCCCGTAAGTTTCACTTCTGGGAGTTGGTCGGTTCAGAATCAAACCTGAGCTAGATGGTTCAACAACCTGATCACAGCATGTACAAGTTTGAAGTGAGCTGCCGTCACCTGTGACTTCATGTGCCCAAACTATCAACTTGCAAAACAAATCTACAGTAACTCTGCTCTGGGTGTTGCATATCTGTCCCACATGCACAGGTGCAGGCTTGTTTGATCTTATCCCTAGAGTTGGCGTTGAGTCAAGGCGCCTTTGCTGTAGTCATCCTCGTGCTCAGTGATCAGGACGACAGCTTTGTGAAAGATCGGGTTGTAGAACGACCAGGTCTCGGACACTTCAAGCGAACAAGGCTGCTCTGGGGGTCGCCATGGGTCGACTAAATAAGGGCTTATACCATCCATTGATGACGCAAGACAAGCAGTAATGCAAAACCAATGTGTGGTGTGCCTATTCATGTGCGGGTCCCTTCACGAACGCCTGAGTAGACCCTGGAACAATAGGCCATGGCGGATCAAAATGACTGATACATATCTGGAAACATATACTGTACATAAATACTCACATCATCTGATATCAATGCATTCTTGGGTAGGTCGGCCGAATTTTTCACTCTCATAGGCTCTCACCTGTCCAAACCTTGAGACCGTTGACCTACGGTTGAGTAATCATGGATGTCTTGTCGTTATACTACTACAATAGATTTGAACCATGAATGAACCGCGATGGCACCATCAAGAGTGCGGGCCAGGCCATGTCCTTAGCCTTCACTTTGAACATGTGGAATACCGAAGGAATGCAGCCATTCCATTTAGGTGCGCTGCTCACATGCTGCAACATGAGAAAGCAATCTACAAGCTGAGTACGATGATAGCCCTTTCCACGCAACCTGACACACCCCGTCACAAATAGTCAATACATGGCAAAACACAATAGCACAGCTCCTTGCTTCCCTTGAAACAAAAGGCAAGGGAGCTTGTTCTCTCGAAAGTTCCTGGGTCCTCGGATGGTCTAGGACTCTAGTTTGTGAGTGTGATCATGTGACTACATGTGTTGCTTTGCGCCAAAATGCCTGTGTAAAGGTGCAAGCATTCCATATGTAATACATGCCGAGCCGTAATTTTAGCTAGCACTCGAATCTAAAAAAGGAGCATGACATGGTATGCGATGGCACGCACCATACCCTGCTTCGCGGTCGAAATCCAAGGCACCCCAAGCTTGGAGATCAAGACGGAGCCCTGCTCAATGAGGGGACTTCGGTGAAGCCAGGCCTCCTGACAAACTAGTCTATTGGCATGAAGTGCCTACCACTCAAGGCTGAAGTACCTTGTACTGCAAGCCTGGGCTTTAGGTCAGCTTCAGGTGACTGGCCTTAATGGGTTCTAAAAGGTACAAGTAGTAGGGCGTGAGTCTCACACCTGTTCTTCTCCCACACCCTCAACAAATCGCGTTGCATGGCAAGCAACGCTAATTCTGCGACAGAAAACATGTGCATTTCCCACTGGCTTTTGAAGACATGCCTGTGCTGCGTATTCATGAGAACACCAAGTCTGAAACCGGGGGTGAATCAGGAATTGCCTCTGGGCAGTGATCACCCCGCTCCCGGCTTGTAGACAGTGATGGATCCCAATGATGGTAACTGATGTATCCAAGAACCCGAGGCCTCTGAGACGGTTTCAGGCAAGTCTGCAGTGAGTGTGTCTTCTCGCTGAAGGAGTCGTGCGCGGAAGCTGCGCCAATCCTCTACTGACTGGGCCTCAAGGTCAACGGAATTACTGTATTTATATCTATATTTATAATATATATACTGTATATATATATATATATGCATGTCCATGTCATTCCATGTCAACCAATGTCAACTCGCAGCTCAAAACTCTAGCTCACGCATCTTCACTGGGGCAAGGCTTTAGCCGCTTTAGCAACAGCAATGTGGCATCGTGCAGTCAAACCATTGGGTGCATGCGTTGCATTAATTGCTGGCTTCGACCACTGACACGCTGAACTTGTTGAGGTGTCTGCTGAAGGTTCTTCCTTTGCACTCTATATAGAATGTCAATCCACTCATCACGAGTCTCAAATGTTGCACGGACCGCTTTCCTATGCTACTACTGCCGATGGCAAATTACATGACAAGGAATCCATCCGAATTCAGACCTTCTGGGGTACTGAATCAACAAAAGGACCTCAAGACATACAAAGTACAAGTGGCAAGGGTCAAAATGGGTCAAGGGTCTAGTCTACAGGAGGGAGAGTGGATAAAATCCATGAAAACGTGTTCTACCTGGCAAACAGAGTTTGGTAAATTTTGGTCACACCAGGATGAAGCACATTGTGGACTTTCAAGGACAACTTTCGACACGAGGAGCTGGTCTGGCAATCTTTGTGCTCTTGCGCAAGGACACTGGCCCCACCAAAAGGTATGTAGAGGAAATCCTGCAAGCATTGGCGGTGTGCTGTCACATTAGCATACACAGTATTACACAGTGACCAGTCTCAACAACATGTATCTAACATCTCTGAAACCGATATGACGACCGACGACCTTGTGCAATTCATAGACAGGCTGCCATTTAGAAGAGCTGTTTCTTAATCAGCGGGACGCAGTGCAAAACACAAACATTGGGCAACCCTGCAGTGTCCCTGCACCAGCGACCAACGCCAGCCGAAAAGTAGAGCGCGGCATGTTGAAACGCTGAAGTGTGGAACGATGGAACCAGGCCCCAGAACGGCTTTGGGGTAGCCAGTTTCTTTTGCTGGCGGCAAGTTGGAAGCACAAACACACAATGAACTGCAACAGGAACAAATGTGCACATGTGTGTTGTTTCATAATTACATAAGAATACGAGCAAGTATTAATATAGCCTTCTATAAAGTGCGCCAGTCACACCAATCGTCCCAACCCACACCTCACATTGGACCATGATGCAATGTACGCAATGCTGCATGTTGAGTTTTGCATGAGTCTACCGCATCTTCGCCGCAGCTACAGAACTACAGAACATTTGAAACCACCCGGCCCACACAATGCAAACAAGGTTGAGCCTCAAATATTTGCGCAAATCAGCGGTCGTGCGATTCAGTCAAAAAGCCGTTGTGAAGATCGCAGCCTAAAAACATTAAAATAATAGAAAACATTGTTACTACTAGTAAGGCACCTGTTCCCTAGTAGCTTCTTGTTACTAGTAGCGTGGCACCTGTTACTACTAGCATGGCACTTGTTACTACTAGCGAACTTGCAATTCGTGCAGGACATCTAAGGACACCTCCGTACCACCTCAGGGCCTGGGCATGCAGCGGAGTTCTTCAAGGGACGGGGCCTGAGATGCAGACAAAACCTGCCAATGCTTGGCTCCAAGTTTTTCTGTCAATCTATGTATACTTCAACAGCGCCTCATACAACCTTGTAATTACAGGTTGTTGTTTCACCAAAAGCAACTCTCCCCGTAGACACCCACCCAAATCCAAATCACAGAACAAATCTTGCGGAGCAAGTCATCAGGCCTTCTTTCTGCCCAGCTTATTCTCACAGGAAAGGCATGGAATGCATTCGCTGATCCGATTTGCTTTCTGAAAGCAATATACTTCCAAAACTAATCAACGGCCTCATCAACAGTTGTGCACATCATCCCAGCGCAAACATAGTCCGAGGATGGTGGGACCGGTGCCCAAATATACCTGCACTGCGATATGCCAAACATAAATTTGATGGCTCAATTTGACACCGCCGAACAAAAATAATATATAATATATACTTCAAGAACCCTAAAGTTTACGCTTCTTACTCTGTTCCAACATGACACTTGCGGTCTACAGCGGATCGGATTGACACGTCCATTTTGCCTGGCAGGTACAGCGCGGTCAGATTTCCACACCCGTTTAAGTTTATAATACTTATAAGGCTTTCAGGTGTGGAAATCTGACCGCAACTTAGGTGTCGACATGTTGCACGTAGGATTCTACGGGGAAAGGGTTTGTCCCGTTTTAGAAGTCAAGAAGCGCAACTTTCGGCACCCCAGTGTATATATATATATATACAGTAGCGCCTGTATGGCTGGCAATTGCGTGCCCAATGTGCGTGTTGACTCATTATACATTGCTCGATATTTATAAATTGATGGGGAGAGGACCGTAAAGTTTGCACAACGAAGAAAGGGCTGAAATGGTGCAAGCATGTTGATTTGCAACTGTGTCCCTCAACAAGTACTTCCAACATTAATATGTGCTAGTATATGTAGTATGCCGACCCCAACCTTGTAATTGAGTCAGTTTGAGTGACTTATGACGACTGTCAGATTTGGTAGTGCATCTTCAGTCGCACAAAGATTTGGAGGCGTCCTTCCCATCTTTCCTGTGCCTCAGAAGGGGCTTCAAAAAATGTTCCAAATTATCGCGCAGGTAAGGAAGCCTGGAAGGCAGCACGCAAATGTTTCAGAGTGGTTGTACATCTCTGCCTATCGCCTGCAATGAGAGTAAAAGTGCACCCCTTTTTTCCGCTGTTCTGCTGCCATATCATAAAGAAGTGGGCATTCTCACTTTTTTGGCCCCATTCGGCATTCTCGTCTGCACTTTCGTAGCTGAATAACTTCATTCATGTCTTTCAAGGAAACATTTTGGACATCCAAATGTTATTTTATGAGTCGGAAATATTCAGGTCTCAATCCTAGCCACTGCTCACTTTTGTCACCCTGCTGCCTTAAAAGATCTTAAAAGTGCGCCAACACTGCAAACATTGATCTGTTCGAGGAGGTCCCTTGACAAGTTCGCTGCAAAAATAGATCGCATTGTGATAATTGAAAAACCAGTACACGGGTCCACCAGATTTGGACTTTGCAGGTCTGAGGTGCCAGCCAAATCTGCCGAAATCGTATTGGATGTGGAAAGAATGTTCCCAGGATTCGACTGAGCTCATCCTGGCAAAGCACCCAAAATGATCGATTTCTGTGCAGGTACGGTATATCTACAGCCGTTGGTCGAAATATGATCGCATTGTATACATACCAGTAGCTGCGTTTGAGCATGTTCCTGCTTTTTCCTGCCAGCCGAATCCTATGCCATATTATGCCACGGGAGCATCAAGTGCACTCCATGCAGCTGAGCAACTCGAGGATGCTTCGCAAAAAAATCCACTGTGCTCCTCATCAGTCACCTCTTGCAGCAAAAGCAACGATGAGTGTCTGTCACCGCAGTTGCTTGGTTGTATGATGCTGTATGTGTGTCACGCAGGAGTCATATCTCCTTGAAAAGCACTTGAGAACCCACGTTTGTTTGACTGCTTGGCATTCCTGGCCCCCAATGTTTGGAAGCTTGTTTAGACGATCTCCCACGGTGAAGAACATTACAGTATTGTAATTGTAATCCACAATCCTTCCTTAGGGCTCCTGGAGCACAACTGCCCCTGCCCAGTACATCCAGCACTTTTGATATTGCGTGCTTGTGAGGAAAAACACATTTAAAAAAAAAAGAGCTCAAACACAGGAGTATTGAGGCCTCCTTTTGATCGGGCCCTCTCGCCTTTTCTTTGTGTCCTACCCATCCGGTCCCATCCCCGTACCCTTGAGAGGTGGCAGTAGCAAACAGTAGCTGCCTTGCCTCGAGCAGTTGCACGGAAGGCTTTGCGGTGGACACCTCGAAGCGTGGGTCTTGTGCTTTTCACCAAGAAGTGTTTCGCGTATTTCATGTCATATGTTCAAAAATGACACTTGCACGTGCACCTTTTGGTCCAAACAGGAATGAGGTCCGAGAATGTTGACATGGAAACTCCTTCAGAAAGGCAACCCACATCTCATCAGGTTTGTCAGACTCTCGGTGGCAATACTGATCTGTCCATCGAACAGCCAAGAAGGACTGCGTGCCATTGCATCATTGAAAATAGCTTCTCATGTCATCTCATTTCTGCGTAACATTCGCAACACTCCCACAACTTGATGGCAAAGCCGGCAAAGCCTTATTTTTTTTGTAAAATGTATGTAGATGTCTGTAGAAATATGATTGCGATGGGTTCAAAAGCTCAGCTAAGCGCTAGGCTAAGCAACGATACTTGCCCTGGGTCATTGCCGTGGCAAGCAAAGCTTATGCTCCGTTTCTAAGGCCATTGACACAATGCCCAAAAACGACTCTCTCCTTCACGGCGTTGGAGCCTGCCAAGAAACTTAGTACCCTTCTGGCACTGAACCAGTGCCTGACCACTGGGCACCGACAAACACCGTGTAGGGGAGGACCAGTAAGAGTACCCGCCTATTTCTTCACAAAACTTGGGGACAGGGATCACGCATGCAGCATCCAAACAAAAGAGCTTCCAAACGCAAAGCTTCGCTTGACCATTCAATGTGGTATGTCAAACATTAATTATCAATCAGCCCAATTGAAGGGAGGTATGGAAAGAACTGTGGTCCATCTATATCTTAACCAACTGCATGTACATCTCAGCCTTTGTGGCTATTGTGCTCATACCCATGCAAGTCCGCTCTGGCTCTGCTTTATGATATAGCCATTTATAGCCGTACTATATACACAATATATATATATATATGTGTGGAGTAGATCGAATCTGGAATTAGTAAAACAACTGCAGGCTTTGGACACGAATACTAAATCAGAATTACCTATAGATAGAACATTGGGCTCACACATGTCATATATCTACTCCAGGATGCTATCAACTTATATAAATTGGTGTCCTCTTTTCTCTTCTTCCATTCTCTCTTCCTTCTTCCTTTGCTGTTTCTTCTCCCTTTTCCATCTCTTCCTGCTCCTTTTCCTCTTTCTTTGCTGGTCCTTTTCCTACTCGTCTTCTTGTTTTTCTCTTCCTTATCCTCTCTATCTTCTTGTTTTTCTTGCAGCTGACCACTTCTTAAGGACGTCGTAGAGTGAACCATGGGCAGAACAACGGGGAAGGAAAAGGGGGAAAAACGAGCCCGCTGGGCGTTTGGTGATAATCATAGATAGAGTATTGATAGAACACTTGTGACTAGATAAATCTGTCATTATTATCTTAATCAAAGATTGAGGTCACCTTTTCGGAAAACACTCATTTGCTAAAATCCATATTCTATCTATGTTTCGGCCTTGACCTTTATTTTATTTATATATTGAAGATGATGACAGTCTATAATATATATATATAGACTGTCCTCATTTTCAAAATATAAATAGATTATATCCACTCCAGAATGATTATATGTGTGTGTGCTCAAGGTTGCTCATCATTCTAACCACGTCAGTCAGCAATGGGTGACTTTAATTCCCTGCTCATAGATTTGTGGTCTTCCAAGGCCGGCCTACTGTTGGGTCCTTGAGAGATAGTATAATGATAGCCAGGCCTCGCTTCAAGCCCATGAAGTTTCCACGCGGAATGAGCCTGAGGCAATAACCCTAATGAGATGCAACATGATAAATGCACATGCGTTCATTCGTGGAAAACAGCGTCTTCCTTGTATATATATATATATATGTATAGTCTTTTCCTGTGTTGCACCTCACTGTTTGCCCAAACAGGTTCCAATACAACGGCTGTTGTGGCAGTCTATATGAAACCTTTAGCATCCTTTCGCCATTGAGCTTATAGCCTTTCGCTCCCTAGCTTCCCAGAAAAAAAACATAAAAAAAACATATAAAGAAAAGGAAGGTCCCCTTGTGGAAACACAACAACACACAGTAAGACTGTCTGTGTTCATTGGAAACCATGGGTGGGGGAGATTACGAACAAATGGGCCCAAGGAGTGTGGCAATCCTCTCAGCCAAAAGAGCGGCACAGAATCTGCAGGGCACAACATTCTCAGCCTGAGCAAGTCGATATTGTATCCTAGCTTCACGAATCAATTGAATTGGTCCCGCATCTGGACATACTAAAGCGTCAAAATGTGTCACAGCTTTGTCTATATAAGTGGTGGAATCCCTCAAAAATCCTCAAACTGTAAAGACGCTGTCCGAAAGATTGTCCAATACAACCCCGCCAACCTCGCAACCTGCGAACTTGCCTGAGAAATGCTGCGGAAACTCATCTGACGAGTCGGTCTGAATGTGGTACCAAGGAACTCATGTGCCACCCAAATGCTCAAGAGCCCATCTGACCACAAGGGCCGAAACCTCCAGGCCAACAAAGTTGTCTAGCGGATGCGACTGTGACAACAAATGACAATGACACTGAGAGAAACCTCCTACCCCAATGCAGCCTTGAGTTGCGGCAAGTGTTTCGTTAGTTGACACTCTCCAGCACTCATTGGATCATTGATACATACAGTACGTTAGTACATCCACACACACACACACATATATATATATATATACAAACCATATTATAAATTTATGCATATAATGCACATATATATATATACACACAATGTTCAGTCACTCCCACAGGAGGCCCAGCGAGCTGTGCTTCTGCCACTTCACTTTGAATCGCCCAGCCTTGTGCAAGACTCGACCCAATTGGCCAAGTTGTCGGGTTTCGGGACCGGTCTGCTTGTCACAAAAGTTATAAAAGCACATGCCCAAGCGGCAAAGATTTGAAGCGAGAATGGGGCTCCCGATGGCCCAAGGGCTGAAAAGGAGCTTTGTCTTGACATACATGTTGAAACCACAGCGGGGGCCTATAGGCTGCCACTTTTATTGGACTAAGTCATATTTACCGTAGACTCTCAGTAGACCTTGCTACTTCATGCAGCCCTAATCTCAAGTACAGCAATATTATGGAACAAAAAACATCCCTTCGTGGCACGAGAGCGCTGCAGACTGTTTCTGGCACATATCCGCAGTCAGGTAGTGAGAAACCTCAGGGCCAGCAGCATCCCTCAAAGCCTGGAACTTGCAAAACCAAAGAAGAGTTCATCTGCTCAACCAACAAAACTGACAAAACAGCAGCTTCAGTCCAAGTAGGCGACTCGAATGGGTGACCTGAGGCCAATGAGATAGCCCCCGATTCATTCCACAGTTGTTCGATTGGTGGACATACAATTCATCAGTTGGACTTCCAAGATATGAACAATGTGCAAATAATTGCAAGCACAACCTCCGAGAAAAAAAGAAAACATAGAACCCCGTGGAAACGATGGTCAAGGGATGTCAAGGGTTACCCTGCGCAGGGAGGAACTCGTCGCAAAACACAAAGGTCAAGGCTCTGCCAAAAAACTCTCCAGGGTTGGAGAAGGTGGACTTGGAGACAGCGGGCTCGGAGCCTCAAGCATTGTGTCAATTCCGTTCCTGTTCTCTTAAGTGCGATGGGTCCTAGGTCCTACTAGCCTTAAACGTGTTTGCCCTCAAAGGGTTGGTGATTAAACACGCAGGCATACATTTGAAAAGGCCGGAAACAGCCTCTGATTCTGATTCACTTGAAACCAGGGAAGACCTGATATCTGATGTGACACCTCTTGTATGCTTCTGCGGTCCGTGATTCTCAAAGCCAAAACTGCCTTTGATAGGATTGGGACTCCTCAATGTTTCTGTGGCAATTGAAGGTGCTGAAGGCAAACCTCCTCATGGGTTGCCAAGTCGTCCAAGTACGTGAGTGAGTACAGAATTTAGCGTGAAACTAAACTGAAACAAAAAAACATTCCTTTCCGAAGGTAAACACGAACCCGGATCAAACAACTGACCAAAGTAGGGATAGGAGATGTCCGGTCGCACAACATCATGTATGTCTCGTTGATCATCGGATATTGATCATTGCACGGCAGTGTAGGACTCCCTTGGCCCACTTGTTTCATGCCCTTCTTTTGGTTAAGTGTCCTTAAGAATCTAGGAGCCAAATGATTAGTGCGAGCGCTTCTTCAAGGAAACCCCCTCCGCCCTCAGGCGGCGGGAGCTTCGTTGAACAAGCGTGAACTATCTTCGTCCGCTAGGAGCGAACTTTGCCTACTACGGACTAAAAGACAAGATAGGACCCAAACGAGCCCGAATGCAAACAAGTACTTGGAAACAAACACCCAGACATTTGACACTCTTGTAAAACAATCTTGTGGGACACTCTCGCGCGACACTTTCGTCACTCTGCGCTCACTCTTGCAGGGCACTCTTGTAGGACACTCTTGTGGGACACTTGTGGGACACTCACGTACGACACTCACGTACTCAGATGTATTTTGGCCAGATAAGTTAACAGTCCACAGCTCCCAGAAGTTTCTTCCCGTACTACATTTGGTACTACAAAGCTGCCAGTTCTACAGTTCCCAGAGCCGCTTCGCTTCCCGCACTACATTTGTATTACCAAGTGGCCAGTTCTGAGGCCACAGCTCCCACAACCAGCTTCCCATTGTTACATGTGTACTACAAGTTACCAGTTCCAAGGCCACAGTTCCCAGAAGCAGCTTTCTGCACTACATTACCAATTGGCCAGTTCTAAGGCCACGGCTAAAATTGCCACTTCTGAGGCGGGACATGGCGGGACCAGAAGCCGCTTCCGCACTACATTCGTACTACCAAGCCTGGCTGCTTCCCACATTACATGTGTGCTACAAGTTGCCACTTCGGAGGGGCACTCCTGACACTCTCGCGGGACACTCTTGTCGGACACTCTTGTGGGACACTCTTGCAGGACACTCTTGTTGCACACTCTTGTGACTCTTGTGGGACACTCTTGGGACATTCTTGCACCACACTCTTGCGAGACACTCTATAGGACGCATTCTTGTCGGAAACCCCTGTGGGACACTCTTGTGAAATCTTGTGGGTCACCTTGTATGACACTCACTCTTGTGGGACACTCTTGCGGAACACTCTCGTAAGACACTCTTGTGGGTCACTCTTTTGGGACACTCTTGTATGGCGTTCTTGCGGGGCACTCTTGCGAAGCACCCTTGTAAACAAGACACTCTTGTTGGACACTCTGATGTCATCTTACGTCAAGTCTCCAAAACGAGCGTTTCACGCAAGACTTCCTCCAAAAGCCACACGTCAAAGTCCAAAGCGAGCATTTCGTACGAGACGTCGTCCACAAGTCAAGCGGGAAGACCCATCGGAGCCAACACATCAAGCAGCCCTGACAAGCAGTTTTGCGATTCGAGTCCCTTCAAACCACACCCGCCGACCCCCCCAATCCCAATGTCACAAAGTACTACCCCCGCCTCGAAATGTCACCTCCGCCACACCTCGCAACCTCACGATTCCCTGCGCCTGCCACGAATATTGCACTTCCACACCTTATTATATAAAACCCGCGCAAGGTACTGCGCCTGCCACTAAAGGTGACAATATCATATCATGGTAGCTTCAGCAAGCACCAGCACACACGTTTGGAATAGTTTTGGCGCGTTCTGAGCACACTCACATCCACCAAAATCGGCATTTGAGGTGAACGCAAGTCCCAATGTCACAGCCGCATCCAACACCCCAAAAGCACCACCCTCTAAACGCCAATCCCAATCTGACTGTGAAGAAAGCTGCGGATCTCACAAAACGCTGCACCTGCGCAGTGAAATCATCCTCCCCACTTCAACGTCTCACGCTTCCTCGCTACCTCACATGAATCTGACACGTCGTGCTTCCATCCAAACCCCTCTCCGAAAGCTTCGCCCAACGTCAGCGCCATAGCGCCCTACCGCGGACGGTTGCGAACGGTTGACAACGGTTGCGGTCGCTACGAGATCGAGTCGTGAACAAGAGTCTACCCCCAAACCCCCAAGTTGTTAAACGAGAACCCTATAGGCTACGCATTCGGGAGTAGTTATAGGACCGGACAACCCCACATGTTAACAACTTCACCAGACACAGGAGCAAAGAATTGGTGGTTGGTGGGTGACCCGTACTCGGTTGGTGGCAGATTGTTGGTGGCAGTCTGTTAGCGACAATTGGTTGGTGGCAATTGGTTGGTGGAAGTTTGTTGGTGGCAAGTGGTTGGTGGAAGTTTGTTGGTGACAATTGGCGGGTGGCAACCGGTTGATGACAATTGGTTGGTGACAGCTGGTTGGTAGCAATTGGTTGGTGACAATTGGTTGGTGACAATTAGTTGGTAGCAATTGGTTGGTAGCAATTGAAGGGTGGCAATTGGTTGGTGGCAATTGGTGGGTGGCAATTGGTGGGTGGCACTTGGCTGATGACAATTGGTTGATGACAATTGGTTGGTGACAATTGGTTGGTGACAAATGGTTGATGACAATTGGTTGGTGACAGTTGGTGGGTGGCAATTGGTTGGTGACAATTGGTTGGTGGCAATTGGTTGGTGGCAATTGGTTGGTGACAATTGGTTGGTGGCAATTGGTGGGTGGCAATTGGTTGGTAGCAATTGGTTGATGACAATCGGTTGATGACTATTGGTTGGTGACAATTTGTTGGTGGCAGTTGGTCGGGAGGACCCCCCGGGAGGAGGCGGGAGGAGGAGGAGGAAGGAGGAGGAGCGGATACCACAATAAAAACAAAACCCCACACGTCAATGTGGGGAAAAAGTACTTTAGTAGCTCCATCCGCCTGCACCTCTGGCGCAGCACATGGAGCTTCCGTACCTTGAAAGGCGCATCGATCGATCAAGAACTTCATACCAGCAATGCTACTACGTTCATGTTGCCGCAGCCACAAATGGTTGACCATCAATTATCAACTAAACAAAGCTCAATGAAAGCTGATTCAATCCTGGCCACTCTTGCAGCAATCAAGCGAGCGTTTTTCAAACACACAATTCAATACAAGTCAAACGCATTCCTGAGGTGGCAAAACCACACTTGGCAACCCTTCACCCTTCAAAGGAGCAAAGCCTGATCTCAAAGGAGATGTGTTTGCGGAACTTTTTGCATCTGGAGCCTGCACAAGCAAAACACAGCTGAGCTTGCTGTTGATATTCCTTGTGCATCTAAATGATTCTAAATGCACATACCAAATCTTGTGTGACACTGTGACACAGCAGCTTAATCAACTGTCTGACTTTAAAGACATGACCCCGGAGAGCATTACCTTTGCAAGGTTTGGTTGCTGAAAAAAAAGCAAACGTACGTATGTGTAATTATAAATGTATTTGTATATTATATATGTATTGTAATGACATATGCACAATATACTGGTGCCCGTTGAAGTTAATACATTTTGCATGTGGGATACTAAACCACCATGGAACGCCGATTTGCAAAAGTCAGTACTTAAGTCAAGACTGCTGGCCTTCCCCATTGTAAACGCTACATACAAAACAAGGGTCTCCAGATTCACCTTTCCAAAAAGAGAAAAAGTCAACTGCAAATCCCAATGGCAACGCAATTTGGAGAGCTACCCGACGTGGTAACTTACCCCATCGCACATGAACTTGACCCACCCCCATGGCACACCGCTTACCCCACGAATGTAAGAACTTACCCCATTTGGACAAAATGGCACACCGCTTCCAGACAAGCACTTTTTCTCCTAGATTGTTTCTAAATTCCATTGCGATTCAACCTTCTACATGTTGATGTTTTCAAAGGTTATCTATGGGCTGCCGTGATCCAATCCCCATGGCACCCCGATTCTGACCCACATGTTGGTACCAGCTTTAAGTTTCTACCTGGAGTGCAAACAGCATGGATTTGTTCTTTAAACGTCAAAAATATCTATGCGTTCTTGTGTGTATTCCTCTCCCAATCCCCATGGCACACCGCTTCGAAACAAGCACTTTTTCTCCTAGCCTAGATTGTTTCTAAACCTACACCATTCCATTGCGATTCAATCTTCTACACGTTGATGGGTTCCAAGGTTTCCTATGGGCTGAAATGATCCAACCCCCATGGCACACCGATTCTCACCCACATGTTGGCACCACCTTTAAGTTCCTACCTCGAGGGTAACCACCCAGACACGAAAGTCCTTGCAAAGCAGTTGCGGCAAGCAAATCACACTGTGACACCACACCGCGACTAAGTCACGGCAGAGTCAGATGTGCTGGTGCCTGGTGGGTTGGGCGAGATAAAGGGCGAGATGTGGGCGAGGTATTGGGCGAGATGAACACGTTTGCCCAGAAGACCCATGCCCACTAACACCCAAATACAAAAGTCCTTGCAATGCAGCTGTGGCAACCAATCAAGAACTGGGACACCACGCCGCGACTAAGTCACGGCAGCGTCCTTGCGATACTTGTTTCCGCATGGGGCACCGCGTTTCACCAAACAGGCCTGCCACCAAGCTTGATATCACGTTTCCAATGCCCAGTCTGCAATGGAAGAAGCCTGCTATAATCATAGGGCGTGCAAGAGAATGACAGGCAGCAAATGAGTAGGCTTTGTAGCCCAGGCCGCAGCAGCGGCAGCGACAAGCAGCAGCAAGCAGCAAGCAGCAGCACCAGCAGCAACCAAGCAGCAAGCAGCAGCACCGGCAGCAATCAGCCAGCAGCAGCAGCAGCAGCCAACCAGCAGCAAACCAACAGCAGCCAACCGCCAGCAGCAGCAGTAGCCAACCAGCAGCAGCAAGGCAGCAGCAGCAGAAAGCCAGCAGCAGACCGGCAGCACCAGCGAAGGTAGCCCAATCAAGCTTTCCCCCAAGGGCACACCTCATCTGGTTCATGCCACTCAATAGTGTGCCCGCTTCACAGCGGAAGCCAGGTTTCCACGAGGACCCTGCTTCCGAGGGTTGGCCCTATAAGCCCTTGGAGGGTTGGACATATGAGACCCACAATCCCAAGATGAAGGGGAACCTATGGGCTGCCTATAGAAACCTCTAGAAACAACCTATGGGTTGCCTGCCAACTTCCTTGCGGTAGGTCTTGTGCAATCAAAACACTGTGAACGCTGAGTAAACCAAGCCCATTGAATAAAACCATGCATTTAGAAAACATCTTCCAACACACTCTATCCTGCAAGGAAACGCTATAGTGTATCGACTTCCTGGTTTGCTCATCACCTTCTATCTGCTATTTAAAACAAGATGGAGCCCACGAACCCGAATGCAAACACGTTCAAAAAGCTACATATGTCCAAGTGACACTCTTGTAGGACACTCTTGTGGGACACTCTTGTGGGTCACTCTTGTAGGAAACTCTTGTGTGACACTCTTACGGGACACTCTTGTGGGACACTCTTGTGGGACACTCTTGTGGGACACTCTGTGGAAACTCTTGTGGGACACTCTTGTAGGACACTCTTGTGGGATACTCCTGTAGGACACTCTTGTGGGACACTCTCGTGGGGCACTCTTGTGGGACACTGTTGTAGGCAGCTCTTGTGGGAAACTCTTGTAGGACACTCTTGTGGGACACTGTTGCGGGACACTCTTGTGGGACACTCTTAAGGGACACTCTTGTGAGACACTCTTGCGGGACACTGTTGCGGGACACTCTTGTGGGACACTCCTGTGGGACACTCATTTGGGACACTCTTGTGGGACACTCTTGCAGGACACTCTGGTGGGACACTCTTGTGGGACACTCTGGACACTCTTGTGGGACACTCTTGTGGGACACTCTTGTAGGAAACTCTTGTGGGACACTCTTGTAGGACACTCTTGTAGGGCACTCTTGTGGGGGACACTCTTGTGGGACACACTCTTGTGGGACACTGTTGCAGGACACTCTTGTGGGACACTCTTAAGGGACACTCTTGTGGGACACTCTTAAGGGACACTGTTGCGGGACACTCTTGCGGGACACTCTTGTGGGACACTCTTGTGGGACACTCTTGTAGGGCACTCTTGTGGGACACTCTTGTGGGACACTCTTATAGGACACTCTTGTGGGACACTCATAACTCTTGTGAGACACTCTTGTGGGACATGGTTGCGGGACACTCTTGTGGGACACTCTTGTGAGACACTCTTACGGGACACTCTTGTAGGACACTCTTGTGGGACACTCTTGTAGGACACTCTTGTGGGACACTCTTACGGGACACTCTTGTTGCACACTCTTGTAGGACACTCTTGTGGGTCACCCTTATGGGACACTCTTGTCGGACACTCTTGTGGGACACACTTGTAGGACACTCTTGTGGGACACTCTTGTGGGACGCTCATACGGGACACTCTTGTGGAACACTCTTGTAGGACACTCTTGTGGGACATGCGGGACGCTCTTGTGGGACACTCATACGGGACACTCTTGTGGGACACTTTTGTGGGACACTCTTGTAGGAGACTCTTGTGGGACACTCTTGTGGGACACTCTTGTGGGACACTCTTGTAGGAAACTCTTGTGGGATACTCTTGTAGGACACTCTTGTGGGACACTCTTGTAGGACACTCTTGTGGGACACTCCTGTAGGGCACACTCTTCGTACGAGACTTCCTCCAAAAGCCACGCTGCGAGGCTGCAAGACGAGCGTTTCGTACGAGACTTCCTCCAAAAGTCACGCGTCAAGTCTCAAAAAACGAGCGTTTCGTACGAGACTTCCTCCAAAAGTCACACGTCAAGTCTCCAAAACGAGCGTTTCGTACGAGACTTCCTCCAAAGTCACATGTCAAGTCCCCAAAACGAGCGTTTCGTACGAGACTTCCTCAAAAACTCACATGTCAAAGTCTGCAAAACGAACGTTTCGCACGAGACTTCCTCCAAAAGTCCAGCGGAAACACCCATCGGAGCACACACATCACGCAGCCCTGCCAAGCAGTTTCGCGATTCCAGCCCCTCCAAACGACACCCGCTCACACGCCAATCCCAATGTGACAGCGACATTCACCTCTACCACAACTCACAACCTCCCGATTCCCTGCGCCTGCCACGAATCTTTCCGCGTCCACACGTCTAACGCGCACAAAGTACTGCACCTGCCACGAAATGTCACCTCCGTCACACATCGCAACCTCACGATTCCCTGGGCCTGCCACGAAAATCATACTTCCACACCTCAAAACCCGCACAAAGTCCTGCGCCTGCCACGAAAAGTAACAATGTCATCTCATGTGAGCTTCAACAAAATTTGCACCACACCACACGTTTGGAATGATTTCGACCCGTTCTGAGCACGCTCCCATCCACCAAAATCGGCATTTCAGCTGAGACTTGTCACGAAAACAGAGCTTCGATGCCACACCCTGAAACGCAAATCTCAATGGCACGGCCACATCCAACACCCCAAAAACACGACTCTCCAAACGCTAATCCCAATGGAACTGCGCAGCAATCTGCAGATCTCACAAAACGCTGCGCCTGTGCAGCGAAATGCATCACGCTTCTTGCGCGACATATCATTTTCACGCAAATCACAATGGACTAGCGTCGCAAACTGACACGTGACACATCCATGAATAGTCACTTGCAAAAGCTTCCCCCAATGGCAGCGCCTTAGCGACCTACTGCGGACGGTTGCGAACGGTTGCGAACGGTTGCGGACGGTTGCGAACATAGAAGCAACGGGTCGCGAACAAGACTTTACCCCCAGACCCCCAAGAGTTAAACGAGAACCCTTCGCTACGCATTCGGGAAAAAAAGAACGTCTCGACTTCAACAACTGGCAGTATGTGTATATATATATATATCTCATACTGTATGTCATTATGTTGTCTTCTCTTGCCAAGGCAAATCGGGGACTGGAGACATTGCTGCTGATCCTGCCTTCTTGGGACTGCACTCCACACGGGCCCTCAGCCGTTTCCAGGAACTTGGAGACTCTGAGGCATTCCACATGTGACAGTAAAATATCAGCGTCAGAGTGGGATTTGAGTATGGACTTGTGGGCTCATCATATCTTGAACATAGATTCATAGTCAATGAACATCAACTCAACTTGGTTTGGATCCGTCCGCCACCTTGATCACTGGACTTGACAACACTCATATCACAGAAACACACTCCAATGACAATCTCGCGGATCAAATGTCGCATACCTCTCCCATTGAAATAGCTTGGGCTCGTGGCGGAGACACAGACGGAGAAGAGGCGGAAGGAGCTACCTGCTAAGGCGCAACAAAATTGCAGTGGCACTCGCGCTACTAGGTTGGAGGCCATCGCATTGCAGTGGCACTCTCGTGGCCAAGTCAGGTACCTACACACGCATCCTTTTAAGCTCATCCTGCCTCCCAGTTCGCCTGAAACTCCATGGCTGTTCGGAATTCGTCCATGAAGACCACCTGGCGAAAGAACTGAAGAAAAAGAAAACATATCATATTCTCACACTCTGTCCGTCAGGACCACTGACAGGAAAGAACTTCTGAAGTCAACCAATTGGGTAAACGCAGAACTGCTTGAGGCCTAAGTCCTTTGTCGCACTTATTGTCTATCTTCAATGTCAAGGTGAGAATGTGTAGGCGGCCTCTCGGCCATCCTGCGCCATCCACCTAAACCTCGGAAACTTGAAGCTGCAGAATGGTGCATTGACCCCTTTCAATCTGGCCTTGCAGCACTCTTTCGCTAGCAAGAGCTTGTATAAGATGGGGTTCTCTTGGCAAACCTCTGGTTCGCTTTGTTTCCCGTTCACTTCTTTCCGTTTGCTGCTGTATTTTGACCCCGGCTGCATGATGTTTCATGATATTTCTATGCCATTCTATGCTTCAGGTTTCTGTGCGCCCGAGCCAACTTTGCTGGCCCATTCCTTCCAATTGTTCCTTTTGTTCCATTTATCTTGTCTCCAACAAGAAAAGTAGAAGAAACGCTTTCTGCTAGCAAACATACGTTCAGTCTTTTTCCTGAGAGCAGCTTTGGGGCTCCAAACAGGTTTTCCACTTGTCGCCTCCAGCGTTCTTGCGACAGCCCCTGATTGACCTAAGCAAGTGCTGCAAGCGGTAACAAGGCTCGGGTTCTTCCCAGTTATATATATATACACATCTACCGTCCTAGCTCTACTTCAATCCCGTGCGGAATGTGCAAGGGTAGCTTTCATGTAGCAGCCTGTCACAGCAAAGGCGGATCAGAATAAAAAGAAGCTACAGCACAGCACTAAGACTAAGTACATATATGATAGTACTTTCATGCTGCTGTCCTTTGGAGTTCCTTGATGACTTTCATATTATTTCCACACCTGCGGCAATCAACTCTGTACGGCACCAAAATCCTTCCAAGAGGCTCCAAGTCGCTCAAGTCCAGTGGCCAAGTCCTTCTTCTGCAAACATCCGTTGCCCCCCACATCCTCAATTGCACTGCTGCATGTCAGCACAGTCATGAGTTGCCTTCTTGAAGTCGTGTTGCAAATCTGGCTCGATCACTCTGACAGGGAAAGGAGCCAGGCGTCCATCAGGCGAAAGGCATCTGCTGGCCAAAGTTGATGGGCTGCCAAAGCCCATCGCAAGCGCAAAAGCAGGGCCTTCAAGAAAAGCTACGCTTCACATTACATCAATCTGGTCTGTCTCTCGATCAGGCCAAAAAGACCCGCAATAGCATGAGGGTGTCGAATGCTGGCAGTTTTTATTTGTAGCCGTGCAATGATACAAAGGCAACATGTCTCCACCAAGTATTTAACTGGTGGGTCTTCGTGCATCCTCACGTGCACGACTCTGTGCATTTGAAACGCTTGAAGTTTCATGAGGCTGCCATTACGTAACTCTGGACATCCAAAACATGCCCGGTTCACCTTCGTGGCCCAGTCGTCCAGCTCGTCCACCGTCTGGAAGACTTTGGCAAGAGGGCATCGCTGCCACGGCCTTTGATGGGTGGAATCCTATAAGATGGAAAAGCAAATCACTATAGCGATGGCCTCCAGCCTATTAGCAATGGCCTCCTCCAACCTAAAAGCGATGGCCTCCAACCTAAAGGCGAATGCCTCCAACCTCAAAGCGATGGCCTCCAACCGAAAAGCGATGGCCTCCAACCTAAAAGCGATGGCCTCCAACCTAAAGCGATGGCCTCCAACCTAATAGCGATGGCCTCCAACCTAAAAGCCATGGCCTCCTCCGACCTAAAAGCGATGGCCTCCAAGCTAAAAGCCATGGCCTCCAACCTAAAAGCAATGGCCTCCTCCAACCTAAAAGCGATGGCTTCCAACCTCCGAGCGATGGCCTCCGACCTCAAAAGCGATGGCCTCCAACCTACGAGCGATGGCCTCCAAACTACAAGCGAAGCGATGGCCTCCAACCTACAAGCAATGGCCTCCTCCAACATCCTCCAACCTAAAAGCGAGGGCCTCCAAACCTACTAGCGAATGCCTCCAACCTACAAGCGATTGCCTCCAACCCAAAAGCGATGGCCTCCCACCTAAAAGGATGGCCTCCAACCTGAAAGCGACGCGATGGCCTCCAACCTAAAAGCGATGGCCTCCAAACCTAGAAGCGATTGCTTCCAAGCGATGGCCTCCAAACTAAGAGCGATGGCCTCCAACCTAAAAGCGATGGCCTCCAAGCTAAAAGCGAAGGCCTCCAAGCTAAAAGCGAGGGCTTCCAACCTAAAGCGATGGCCTCCAACCTAATAGCGATGGCCTCCAACCTAAAAGCGATGGCCTCCAACCTACTAGCGATGGCCTCCAACCTAATAGCAATTTTGATCAATTTTGCATATTGAAACTATTCTCAGTCCTCGTAGGATTTGTGACACGCAGTTTGACTGAACGAGATCAGCGCTGAGAGAGAGAGAGAGAGATGGGGAGCACGATGATGATGTGATGACTGCCCAAGCCGACTGCGAACTAAGGTAAAACAATGGCCCAGTAACAAGTCAATGTCTTGTACAAGTTACAACCGGTGGCTCAACAAGGTGGCTAGTGTGTTGTAAAGTCCTACTGTAGCTGTAGTGTGTCCGATAAATATGCTTGGCATTCGACATTGAAAAAGCATCTCTCAGCCACGCACCGGTGACTTCGACGTCGGCAGGCTCGGACATCCAGCCACCAAGGCAGCCGGTTCTGAGCTTCGGCGAGCTGAAAAGACTATACAAATATTAACAACTCCACTGAAAAATCATAAAGGATCACAAAGGCACTGTTGATGAAGGTAAAGCCCCCACAAATACAAAGCATACACATGCATGCGGACAAGTTATTGTCTTGTCAGATATTAATCGGATCCAGTGAGCAATAGCATCGCAGAATCGTGCTACAATGATGCCAGGCGTTTGTCGTGTTTTGGACACCTCCACCCTGGTGAGCTGAAGCGTGCGTAGCAAAACGCTGACCTCGCGAGCCTGGCCGGATGTGCCCGATGCTATGCTGTCTGTTCTCTTGCAGCCATTCAGAGCGAAACGAAGGGACTTGGCCCACACGGGGTTGGCAAAGAGCTTCTAAGATGTATTCGGCAAGACTTCTGAAGGCGAAACAGCTTGCAAGAGGGCTTCCAAAAGGAAAGCACTATTTTAATATTATAAGAGGTTTTTGACATTATACATTTGCGCTGACACCCTCTCTGTTTGCACATGAGTCATTTGGACAATCTATGAACCTATGAAAAACCTGGAAGATCGGATATGTACAAACTCGATTTGTTTCTTTAAGGTTCCTCTTGGGTGAGCAAGTGATTCAACGATCTAGTGCCAAAATGTAATTACCACATGTACCTGGAACTGCACTGGAACTCACTTAGCACTCATCGAACAAAAAGGCTCGGCTTGGATGCCTCCCTCCTTGCAAGTGTCAAACAAACAGTTCAGTTGCAATCAGACTACGGTTCCCAGCTATCCGTGAAGAAGTGCGAAAAACAATGGATGACAAAATAACGCAAATAGTATACTGATTATATAATAGGTGGTTCCAACAAAGGATTGACAAAACAACAGGCACCAGTCCAAAGGTCGCGTTCAGGTACGGCAAGTGACCCAAACCTCTTCACCAACTGCTCTGCTGCGTATTTCCCACCAAGCTCGTCGCACATTGGTACCAATCACCAGAAAACTCTAACATTTTCTGAGTGTGTAGTAAAGCTGATTGGTGGGTCATCTGAAGGCTAAAGCATTGCTTGGATGCTGTTAGATCAGCTGGCCATGGCTGCTTGGATGCTGCACTTGGCAAACATTAAGTCCATGGGATTCCTAGGGGCACCTTCGCACACGGAAAAGAAACTATCGCTCAGCCGGTTGACAAGTGAGATCATAGTGTTAATATGCTGTGTATGCCGCCAAAAAGGGTCTACGCAAAACGTGCAGGCTCGACTCTTTAGCGGCTAGCAACTGCTGTAGCTGATAGTTGAAGTGTTGTTGATTGAGTTTGGAGCGTGAAGGACGCACTTGGCTTGCCTGGAAGTCCTCTGCGCTGTTGAGAAAACGGAAGACTTGTTCAGCAGCCTGCACACATTCATCCAAAGGCACAGCCTCAAGGACCTCATAAGTGCAGGAAATCCGACTTGCAGGGTCTAAGAACTGACTCTTTGCATCTCAAGGCCACAAGGCCAGCGCACAGACTATGATATATACTATAATTATATATGAGTATCGTGTAGGAAACCCAGGATGAGTAAGCGGTTTCCAGGTCCCAGAACGCCTGTTTGCGACTGTGACTGATGAAGGTGCTTCACTTGTCTGGGCTGGGCAAAAATGAGTGAATCTGAATACCCATCAACTGAATGCATGTCTACGTCTTGCCTCAAGCTGGTGTCCTAGCTCAACACCTTGGCAAGCACGAAGGGACAAGCAACAAAACTTCCTGGACGTATGGATTAGGAAGGACGAGCCACTCAACAAGAATTTCTCAAAGGAGTGCCATTTAATTTTGATTTGTGTTTCCATTTTTGGATTTTTTGTTTTTCGTGGCTTCTGGCTTCTGTGGCTTCTGGCTTTTGTGGCTTTTGGCTTTCGTGGCTTTCGTGGCTTCTGTGGCTTTTGGCTTTTGTGGCTTTTGGCTTTTTGGCCTATCCATCTATCTGTCTATATCTATCTTTCTATATCTATCTACCTTTCTTTCTTTCTTTCTTTTTGGCAGCTGTTCTCCTTTCTCTTTTTGCATTTGCTTTTCCTGTTGTTTTCGTTGCAGAGACGAAACCAAACAAGGAAGCAAGCAAGCAAGCAAGCAAGCAAGCAAGCAAGGAAGCAAGCAAGCAAGCAAGCAAGCACGAGCTGCTCACCTTTGGATCTGGTGTGCTGCTGGGGGGGGGGTGGTGCGCCCCTTTCAATCCCCCCCGCGCCATAAAATCTGCACTTCATCCCCGACACCCGCGCTGCCACGAAATCAATATTTTAAGGTGAACTCCCCGGTGCAAAACTTTCTAACCAAGCAAATATGCCTCCTCTATTTATCTATCTATCCATTTATCATTCTATCTTTCTATCTATCTGCAGTTCAACATCCACAAAGTACTGCACCTGCCACGAAATCTGCACTCCAAGGCCCACAAAGTCCTGCACCTGCCACCAACTCTACACTTCCAATCCACAAAGTCCTGCATCTGCCACGAAATCTGCACTTCAAGGTCCACAAAGTCCTGCACCTGCCACGAAACACGAAAAAAAAAACAATCCAAAATTAAGTCGCGGCCCTTTCTCAAAATGTCGGAAGCACGGATGAATAAAGAACATCCTACTGTACTATACTGCGTGTCCACACATCAAGACCCTTGGTTTGAACAAATCCTTGAACTATGTAACATGTCCTTCTAGATCTTCAAAGGAGCTTAATGAAACTTGACAAGCAGGCTGATGCACAAATATACACAAAAGCATAGTTGGGTGGAAAGCTTGTACCGTGATGCAACCCCCGCTTTCCAAACTCTGAGTTCACTGCTGTCCAGCACAGGCCCATGGGAATCAAGCAAGGAATCATCTCTGCCAGATTCTTTGCAAGTGATGCACCTCCGTCATGCACACCACCACGATATCCCACAATGGCGAAATTATGCGAAATTGAACATGCTAGTGGCTTTTCGTGACACGTGCTAACACTCAGTATTTACGTGCAGTATGGACACTTGGCAACCATGTGGTTCCAAGACTTGAGCCGCCACAAAAAACAAATCAAAGTAGGAGTCATATCAAAGGCAGGCATTGTCCAAAACATCTAGGTGCCAATCTTTGCCCTGGATGCCCTTGGCATCTCTGGCTGGTGTATATTATCTCCCCACCACTGTCTCACCTCAATGCGAGGCCGCACTCAACGGGGAGTGTGGCAGGGCTTGAGCTCCGGAGCAAATGCCTGGGCATCGTGTACACTGAAAAGTGGCAACGGCGGGGGGCACAGGCCGGGGCCCATTGGGTCAATTTCTTGTGGCCCTGAACTACATAGATGCATGTGACCGGCGTCAGCTTCGATTGACGGGGGCAGGCCTTGTACATAATTCACTGACTTGCAACATCACAGGATTTCAGGATCATGCAATGGACACCAAGGCCGGCGGCCCAGAAGAAAATACAACACTCTTAGGTCATGCAGGATTCTGTCCAGCAACGATCTTCCTAGGCGTTTTCAACAGGCTTGTGGGCCTTGAGGAGTGGCGTTTTGAGTCGACAATTCGCTATGACTACAATGACTATAACCTAGAATTCTCGCAGTCTCTCACTTTCTGGGGTCCGCAGCAGTGTGCCACGTAGATGCTCCGCCTCTTCCAAGCTCAGTGCAACGAAGTAGCGGCCCTGTCATTTAAAGTGCAATCATCCATGGCAATTGATGGCTGTCCCCTGAATGCGCATTGCCCCCGTGAGCTTAAATGTTTGACATAGGCACTACCACACAATACCAGTGACTTCAGGCCAAGAACGCGTGGGTGGGCTAAGCCCACTGCAATCTGTTGCTGACACATTAGCATAAACAGTGGCCAACCAAAGTTTCAAGGTTTCGCATTGTCTGCGATTGGTCTGGCCACAGCCTGCTGCATCTTGTATATGCTGTGAGTGAGCAGCTCCTTCTCCAAATCTTGGAGTGTTACTCGGCCTAAGTCCCATGTCTGTCTGTCTCTCTCTCTCTCTCTCTTTCTTTCGCTCTTTTCTCCCGCACATCCCAACTGAGAGGTGTTCAAATGTCTTTGGGAAGGGGTTGTGCCAACATGCTTAGTTAAGTCAGTTAAGCATACCTGGAGCCCTGAACACTGCTTGTTTTTCAGGTGCGCCCCAAAAAAATCATCCGCTGTATTTTTTTTGCTTGCTCAGGTCCTGTCGGGACACTTGTCAAAAAAGTCCCAAACTATGAGAAGAAACATGGAAGTATTTAACACAAGCCCTTCCCCGTTGTACAAACTGAACCAAGCCTGGAATCATGGACTTGCTGGGCCAAGGTTTCCTTTGGGAATTACAGTAACTCTGTGAGAACTCGCTTTGGTGGCAAGTGCTTGCTTGGCCTCCAAGTTTGCCTACAACACTTAAGAGGTTAAGGAGCGATTTTGAAGGATTTGGCACTCTTTTGTTGTGTTTCTGTAGAATCTACTCATCCACCGCGCGCAAAAACCAAACGCCGAACCGACGCCATCACTCGAAAAACAGACTCCGCGCCAAAACCGCGCCCAGAAAGATCGACGCCAAACAGACGCCAAACGACGCCGAATTGGTGTCTTTGGGTTGTAATGACATTGGGCCTCATGTCTTGTCAGATATTGATGGTATGGGACGTAAGTTGTCATCACTCTTTCGTCGGGAGCGTTGATGTGTCCTTTAATGTATACTCTTGTCTAGTCATGTTTTGTAATTAGCATTTGGTGGATGATTTTCTGTTTCAACTTCAATGAAGCTGGCCAAGGAAATGTACGCTGTAGTCTCTAATTAGGCTATGACAGAACTCCAATGCCGTATGGGGAGTTTTGCTCCCTTGATGAAGGTTTACTGTCAAGAGGAAAATGCTGAGGAGCTTTGAAGCCCCTGTTGAAGGTCCCCTGTTGGAAAAGAACACTTTGCACTTCCAGTTAAGACTAATCCTTTAGTGCTTGAGATGCAGGGCTTGAGGCTGTTTCTACCTTGAAAGTCTGCCGGGAGGTCTCTTCTTCCCTTTGAAATGGTTTCTGGCGAGATGCACCCACATAGGCCCTGAACTGGTTTTGAGTGAATCCCAAAAACTTACTCCACGTGAACTAAAAGCGTCTCGAGGGTACAGGTACTTATATATATATATGTATATTTAGTTGACTCATTACATACCTCATCATACTTCTTACAAGGCCACAAACATGGCGCAACTGCGCATGCCAGGATTTGCACCCTATCACAGGGTGCACAACTGCCTTATGCACCGTAGTAAAGCATGTTGATCGCTCAGCCGAGGTCTGAGCTGCTGGGCGACATTTTTGCCTTATGCAGTCACGAGCACGGCAGTGCTGGAAGAAATGAGAGTTCTGGTTTTTTAAGCCATGATGCCATCAAAACAAATGCGGCTACATCTTATCATATTTTTTCATGATTGGTGAACATCACATGTTCATGCGAAACTCTCCCGAATGGCAAACGATGCCCTTATGTTGTCAACAAAAACCATGAGAGCCCTTGAGCCATGCACCGTCAGGGCTTCACCTTCATCAGCCAAATCCAACACGCCACAGAGTGCTCGCACCTCACAGATCCGTCATGCGTGCACTGGTTTCTGTAAACTGTTGCCGGGTCCTGGGCCCCTAGCTGTTTTGAATGACTGGCACAATTACTGTATATAAGCCAGTAAGCCCAATGATTCAATCTGATTCTATAGAAGGAAGTAGTGCACCGTAATTAGATCCCCGTGCGAATATCTAGGGTGAGGTCAGGCGATGCATTCTGTAGAGAAACCTCTACAAAATGACTTGGCTGGCACTAGCCTCACTACAAAATTGGCTCGTGGGTTTCTACAAAATGCCTTGGTCAACATTATCCTCACAAATGTGAACATCCCCAGCGTAGATGGCTGAACTTTACAAAATGCAATGCGCAGGCACATTTTGTAAGAACCCGCCCCCCTGCGACGGCAGATCGGAATCTCAACGGACGGCAACAGGTCTCAGGGAAAGGATGTAGAGTTTCATCCTTATTCAAGTCTTGCAATGCAATCACTTACAAAAGATAAGCCTGAGGTCATTTTGTTTGACTCTTGTACTTGTGTGTGTGTTTCTTTTAATTCTTGAACATGTCATCACTTATATACAACAATATTAACAGAATATTATATATCCTTATCGCATTGTCTGAAATGTAATCCCCTACAAAATGATGCACAGGAGGTCCTCTTGGGAACTCATACCGCGGTCTTGGAACGCTTGGAATGCCATCACTTGCAAATGACGCACCCAAGGTTATCTTGGTTGGCTCTTGCTTTGGCTTTTCTCACAAAATCACGCTGTCAAAATTGTTGTTTGCTTTGGTTTATGTTGAATGCTATTTCTTACAAAATGCATGACTTGTCCTCATTTTGTCAAGGCATGTCAAGGCCAAAAACGTATTCTGGGCTCTTACAAAATGAAAGGCACATGTGTATTTTGTAAGGATCTTCCCTGTCCGTGAGTTCTGACATCTCCTATGCCGGGTGGTTGCTACAAAATGGCCATGGTTTTAGGGCCTCAAGGCCGGCCCTTCATTTTGTAGGGGTTATTCGCACGGGGATGTAATTAGTACACATTATCAACTTGGAAATCGTCTAGCCCTCGAAGTCTAGT